AGCGAGTCAACACAATGAAGTACTAGTATCCCGTGACGGATGTCTGGAGGAGCTTTCTGCAGACAGTAACACAATGGTTACAATGTGCGTCCTGTCAAAGGACGAGGAAGTGAAAAGCCATATTCATTCAATCAACAAATGTGGTTCCTGTCACATTTCTCTTAATTAGGACGAGGAACTGAAAAGCCTTATTCACTCACAAATCAACATGGCCAATATTTATCAGACACTGAAAAAGCACATTGTACCATTTGTTTACCAGCAAGAAAATTATTTTCTCCTGGAATTTAATTAGGTGCTTTTGACTGACAAAGACACCCAGTCCATGTTAAGTTTTGAAAACTTATATTGTGAGAAATAAAGATATGAAAATTTTGGTTTGTTTTTCTTTGTAAAATATGAGAAATCCAGATTGTTCCATCAACATAATTTGTACCGATACATATATTTTATCTTGGCTTGATTACCAATTGAAGTTGATTCCTTTTTATCTTTGGTTATTTTATCTGTACTCATATCTGATCAAGACATTTTCAAACTATTCAGGATAAATGTATTAGTAGCTTCCTTTTGATATACAATTACCTTTCATCATACAGGATTAGGTGAGGGTGTTCAAGAAGTTGGTAGTTGTATCAATTCTTATATTTCTTCAATTTCATGCATTATTTATATTTATCAATTTTTAGTTTCCTTTTAACTTATTTTAAACAGTTCACACATTATTACTTTTGTAGTGCACGGTGCAATCTCAATCGGCAATAATCAGTTAAGTAAGTGATGTTTGAAGAACAAGTAAAGTATCATCTGTCATTGTACACACTGAATAGGGTTATCGCCCCTTCTGAATATTTATTTTGACACACGAATTATTTTCATAATTAACATTGTAATATGTTAAAATGAAAATCATAGCAGAAAAAGTGTCTTTTGTCAACTGGACTCATGGCAAAACGATAGTGCGTTGTGCAGCAAACACCACTATGAAACGTGAAATAAACATGATCTCAATCTTGATCTAGAGTTTGCCAAGCCACGCATTGACTGAGCAATTTTGCAAAAGTACACTGACGTGTTTCATGTTATGCGGTTTATTTACTATAGAAAACTTCTGTCATTGAATGTACTGTCACATTGTACCTATATGCCGACGAGGTTATGATAAAACAATCTATTTCTGAAATACGTATCTCGAAATGCACCTTTCGATTCACTTCCGGGATCCTGACAGCAAAATGCTAATTCCAGTGTATAACAGGCATATTTTAGTTGGACCTCATGATTTATAGTGAAATATCTTCTGTATTATATACAGAGGATACCATTTTTTGTTTGTTTGAAATGTCCATCAGTGAAATGCACAACATACTGTCTATTCCCTATGAGCTGATGCGACTCTCACTGTATGGAGCTATGCTCTCCAAGCCTCGTTTTCGATCCAAGATGGCGAAAGTGTGAAAAAGGTCAATAGTCCGGACTAGTACAACCAGACAGACACACACACATACACATGCACGTCGCTATATAAGTGCATTCATCTTGAACGCGACGTTAAACCCCATTTCACCTCACCTTCCTAATTTCAGCTACTGTCTGACATTGTAACTGCCATTACATTATAGTGGGTTATAGTAGGTGACGTAAGGTGTATAAGAACCATCCCGTGAGACCTAGCTCGGCGGCACGGCCATACTTTCACATTGACGGTCCATCGAAATCACATAGACTCAAGAAGGGTGGGGTTAACATCACACGGACGTACTGTGCATGTTTATGCAGAATCAAAGTTGAACATGGTTGAGGGCCCACTTTCTCTCTTGGGGTGGAAGCACTGATTGGATGTACGGCGATCATTGACCTAATGCGCCAAGACACTACCATGTCTGGCACCGGATTGTCCCCCGTGAATTACACAGCACTGTGTTTTCGACCCACTGAGAACATCATATCGACACTCACTAAGATAAATCAGAATGTATTATATATCTATGAGTTTGTATTTTGCGTAGATGGTTTCCTACAGCACGGGTCTACAATGTACAGCCGTCTCGATTCACCAGTCGACCGGTCGTGCTGACTTTCACCAGTACACACAGCACGGGTCTACAATGTACAGCCGTCTCGATTCACCAGTCGACCGGTCGTGTGGACTTTCACCAGTACACACAGCACGGGTCTACAATGTACAGCCGTCTCGATTCACCAGTCGACTTTCACCAGTACACATGGAAGAGTTCAGCCCGGCAATATTTAGAGTCTGTTCAGTAGTTTCGCATTTAGATAAAAAATATTTTAAGATTAAGCTCCGAACTTATATCATACATAGTTTAGGCCCAGTATAAAATTTGATAAGGTAAGATGTCTTCAGTGGGAGGAACCTGCATGCCAACTTCCACCTTCATCAGTCAAGTTCTGTCACAGGAGATAAGAGCATGTTCAATGTAGAACGTGTGTGTTGGGGCTACCGGGATCACGGGGTCACGGGGTTATGTGCCATTTAAGCACTCCCTCACAAGAAATATAACCCTTATTAGCGTGCAGAGGTCCTCAGCCCTAGCCACAACGGCCCCATCAATGGCTTTTTGGTCTAACACACTCGTCACCATGGCCGTGTCGCTGTTTTCTCCTACATCAAAAGGTGTCGGGTGATGAAACTTCGCCTGGACCACCCTACCGACAGCCTCTTCCAAAGTTGCTCGAACTGTTTCTTTTCGAAGTCAAGTTTGGCCTCCATGCCAACCATATACGAAAACCTACATTTTGCAGTTGCTCCCTTGAGCGCAGGGTACTGGATTAAATTTGACGGCTGGCTGGTTGCACCTAGTTTTGATTTTTATTGCCCGTGACAGCACTTTCACTTTAATGAATCACACTGTTTTTTGTTTCTTTGTTTTTTAATGCCGCACTTTGCACTGTCCCAGCTACACGAAGGCGGTCGTGAGCTACACAAATGGGATAGGATGACACTGACACTTGTATCTTGTATCGGATAATTTTTACAAGCACTTCAGGCTGTTGCAACGAATAGTCACGAAGCTGGCTTAGCTACAACAAATCTTACCGACTCATGAGCTGGTCATTTACTATAGGGTGGTCTGGTCCCTCTGGATACGTCTTAGGACTGTATCTTATATTGCTGACCCCCGCTTTATGTAACATTTTTTCATGCTCCCTACATTCCCAATACATGTAAGTTTTTCCATTTCTTTTGGCCAGAGGGAGGTTTTCCTCGTGTTATTGTTGTGTACCAATTGATCAATGAAGGATAAAGATGTTGGCCTTTACGGATAGATATAGTGAGCACTGAAGATTAATACATAGAATTTGAAAAGAAGCTGCCAAAGGAAAAATATAATGCGATTAAAGATATTAGCGTAAATAAGAAGCGATTATTGCAAGTTGGGACGTGGGAGCGTTGCATGAGCCACGTTACAGATGCGGGACGCCGGAAGTATATCGTAAAGTTGCGATGTATATGAGTTTTTGGTATAAAAACACAACTGCAACTTGCAATGTGTCCGAAATAATTTGTGAGCAAAGCTAGGAAGATAGGGGTGCATTGTTTAACCTTAGATGCGTTTCTTTGCTACGTCTCCAAGATGTCCTTGTGATGTCTTGTAAGCTATTTCCTGAAAACTGTAACTATGCCGGATCTCACATCCAGAAAACGGCAACATGTACCAGGACAAGGAAGACGTGCAGCATATGTTAAACACAGATAGACTGTATCACTCAAATTGAGGAAATATCCTTGAAGACATCCTCTGCACGTCCAAACTTGGTTCAAACGACCATAACGCGTTTGGGACTGGTCACGTGACCCCTTTTGGAAACCATACCCTGTATACATAATAGATATAAATTATATATGGAAAGCTCTTGGATATATGATAGTCCCAACAACACCATAACAAATTGATGATTTTATAGTGCTAGTCCACTGAGATACTTTGCCACAGTGCCACAGTTTAAGACCGACCAGCCCTTGCTTTATCCCCGTAATGCTGAGCCCTACCCACTTGACCCGGAGGTGGTTATTACGATGGACATCGACCACACACTACTGAAACCAAACTATGAGACAACAATCTTGTTCAATACTCTTCCCTGATGTGTATATTTTTTTGTCACTATAGTCCCTTCTATCACAGCATCGAACAGGTGCCTCACATCAATGCAAAAAAGTTCTGTTTAGAATAATGATTTATATTTTTTACTATCAATCACCATTCTCTATAAATAATGCAATATGTTGAGAGGAGTATTTGATGGTAAAAACGATTCTTAAATCTCCACAGATACAGATTATGGCGATAAAACATAACATTAACATAATACACTTCTCATTACACAATCTAACATCGGAAGAGTTAACTCCCCTGATAAGTCGTCAATCATGAGTAAAGATTCTTCTCAACATCTGGGATCTTGACTATTCTGACTTATGAAAATAACGTTTTATTGTAGTATGATATGTGTTTATTATGACTGCCCACATGTAAGTATTTATCAAGCAGGGCTCGATTTAGCTATATAAATCATGCACCAGTGCATCCATTTATTGACAAATGCAACTTAATATCTAATAAGGTCTACATGCACCAAGTGAATGTAAAAACAATTCCTATTTTGGTTTGACTAACCATTCCTTGTCCTCATAACACCGACCTTGGAACACACTCAATACCTCTTAGCTGTATAAACCATACATCAACCCCTGTGTAATGTGTGATTCATCAGAGATCTGAGATCTTACTTATTTAGACTAGTTTATGCATCTAAGTTTCAACTAGGATACTTTTATGGGACCAGGGTGCAAGATGATTTGCCTGATTCAACCAGGTTTCCATGCCAACATGCAGCTGGTGCAGGTTAAATCAACTCCCTTAATCAATCCCTGTTAAGGATAGTAGACTCAAAGATATCAGCTTTATATAAATATACCATGCATGTATACCCAGTACACTAATGTTTTAGCATAATAAAAAACAAATACTGAATCTTGTTTACCTTTTAATTAACGTTCTTGTATTATTATTTGACAATGAATAACACACACACACAAAGCTATATAAACATAACACTCGTGGTCACCAATGCCAAAATGCTAAATCTCCTCTGAAAATACAACTGGTTCTGGAACCACAGGCAAACCTCACATAATCCTTCATATAAGTTCCAGACCAAACACTGCTACGTATTGTATAGAATATGTTTGTTATTTAGAGAAAAGCTGAGGTGGTATCACTATGATCACTATGACTTTGAAACATATAAAGGATTGTTGGCTAATCTTTTCAAAATCATTTATTGACTTGCCTGACAAAGCAAATATTTTCAATCATGAACATCATAACCATATCTAACACTGCTAGATGAAAGACATGCTATTTGACCACAGTCATTATTCTCTATATCTCAAACTTCAAGATTGAGGACATCTTGACCATCACACCCCTTCATTCAAGAACATTTCTTCTTTCCCATGATGTAATTAATACCCTAAAAAAGAGTTTGCACAGGTTATTGAACCTTTGAAGACAGATTTCTAACATTTCCTCACTGAATACATTTATTATCTCACTGCCTGGCTGGAATGTTGAAATAATAAATTCACTTTGAGATTAGAGGAATGTACAAATGTACAACACTCTGTCTCCTGCTGGATGGGACATATTGTACACTTTTGGTATCCAGAAGGATCACACAAAGTGTAGGCCAGTGATGAATGCTGTGACAGTCCTTGTGATCTACAGTCACACAACTGATGTAAAAACACATTCTTCAGTCAAGGTGCACTGACTCCCATCATCCTAAAACAGACAGGGTTAAACACATGGTGCCATTTCTCTCTCAACTCATGCTGAAAATTAATTGCAATAACACAGTTGTTTCAAAATTTAAAATGTGTGGTCAATGACTTGGGAGAGAGTCAACAGATCTAGGCAAACAAAGAGCTGTTTTTTAAATCACAAAGGTGTGTATTTTTCATTTACTACTCCTAAGTTGCTGAGTGACTGTTGTGTGGTCAGCATCCACGTATGTCTTGAAACGTGTATACATCCTTACACAATCCTTCCCTTGTTTCTGTAGCAGTCCTGTGTTGAAAAATGTATGTGTACCTTCTCACAAAATCCCCCTCACTTGCTGTTCAACGCCACTTAAACACGGCACATATTGTTCCTACAACAGGAGGGGGGAATAGCTGTGACACTATGAAGGTCAAGGTTAGCCTGGGGTTGTGATGCAAGGTCACCAACGGTAATGAGAGTAGGCTTTGTTGGCCTCACACTGTCGATGGAGGTCTTGCTTCTTGCGAATACTCCTGCCCTGAAATGAGATAGGAACTTTTATATGGAAAGACTAGTCAGTTTTTAATTAAAAAGGAAAACAAAGGTCTGAAAATACCTTAAACAATGCCATGGCACTAAAGATCACTTGGCTATGGATAGTCAACAGTTTAAAGGTCCACAATGAAAGCCACTTAACAAAAGTTGCTGTCACAATTGATATTCAAATACATTCTGCACTAATAGTGAAGAAAATCTAACAATAAAATCTAATGATTTGTACAAGATTTGTCATAATAAGGAGAAAATATAAACAAACACGTCAATATTGAGTTTACTGTAACCATGGCAACCTGTCGCATCAACAGGTAAAGGAGTGGGGAACTACAGGGAGTGACCCTGTGTATGAGTTAACCTACTTCCCCTATGTAGGCATCCAGCAACTACAGAGAGTCACCCTGAGTATGAGTTAACCTACTTCCCCTATGTAGGCATCCAGCAACTACAGAGAGTGACCCTGTGTATGAGTTAACCTACTTCCCCTCTGTAGGCATCCAGCAACTACAGAGAGTGACCCTGTGTATGAGTTAACCTACTTCCCCTCTGTAGGCATCCAGCAACTACAGGGAGTGACCCTGTGTATGAGTTAACCTACTTCCCCTCTGTAGGCATCCAGCAACTACAGAGAGTGACCCTGTGTATGAGTTAACCTACTTCCCCTCTGTAGGCATCCAGCAACTACAGAGAGTGACCCTGTGTATGAGTTAACCTACTCCCCCTCTGTAGGCATCCAGCAACTACAGGGAGTGACACTGAGTATGAGTTAACCTACTTCCCCTCTGTAGGCATCCAGCAACTACAGAGAGTGACCCTGTGTATGGGTTAACCTACTTCCCCTCTGTAGGCATCCAGCAACTACAGAGAGTGACCCTGTGTATGAGTTAACCTACTTCCCCTCTGTAGGCATCCAGCAACTACAGAGAGTGACCCTGTGTATGGGTTAACCTACTTCCCCTCTGCAGGCATCCAGCAACTACAGAGAGTGACCCTGTGTATGGGTTAACCTACTTCCCCTCTGCAGGCATCCAGCAACTATAGAGAGTGACCCTGTGTATGAGTTAACCTACTTCCCCTCTGTAGGCATCCAGCAACTACAGAGAGTGACCCTGTGTATGGGTTAACCTACTTCCCCTCTGCAGGCATCCAGCAACTACAGAGAGTGACCCTGTGTATGAGTTAACCTACTTCCCCTCTGCAGGCATCCAGCAACTACAGGGAGTGACCCTGTGTATGGGTTAACCTACTTCCCCTATGTAGGCATCCAGCAACTACAGAGAGTGACCCTGTGTATGGGTTAACCTACTTCCCCTCTGCAGGCATCCAGCAACTACAGAGAGTGACCCTGTGTATGGGTTAACCTACTTCCCCTCTGCAGGCATCCAGCAACTACAGAGAGTGACCCTGTGTATGGGTTAACCTACTTCCCCTCTGCAGGCATCCAGCAACTACAGAGAGTGACCCTGTGTATGGGTTAACCTACTTCCCCTCTGCAGGCATCCAGCAACTACAGAGAGTGACCCTGTGTATGAGTTAACCTACTTCCCCTCTGCAGGCATCCAGCAACTACAGAGAGTGACCCTGTGTATGGGTTAACCTACTTCCCCTCTGCAGGCATCCAGCAACTACAGAGAGTGACCCTGTGTATGGGTTAACCTACTTCCCCTCTGCAGGCATCCAGCAACTACAGGGAGTGACCCTGTGTATGAGTTAACCTACTTCCCCTCTGCAGGCATCCAGCAACTACAGGGAGTGACCCTGTGTATGGGTTAACCTACTTCCCCTATGTAGGCATCCAGCAACTACAGAGAGTGACCCTGTGTATGGGTTAACCTACTTCCCCTCTGCAGGCATCCAGCAACTACAGAGAGTGACCCTGTGTATGGGTTAACCTACTTCCCCTCTGCAGGCATCCAGCAACTACAGAGAGTGACCCTGTGTATGGGTTAACCTACTTCCCCTCTGCAGGCATCCAGCAACTACAGAGAGTGACCCTGTGTATGGGTTAACCTACTTCCCCTCTGCAGGCATCCAGCAACTACAGAGAGTGACCCTGTGTATGAGTTAACCTACTTCCCCTCTGCAGGCATCCAGCAACTACAGAGAGTGACCCTGTGTATGGGTTAACCTACTTCCCCTCTGCAGGCATCCAGCAACTACAGAGAGTGACCCTGTGTATGAGTTAACCTACTTCCCCTCTGCAGGCATCCAGCAACTACAGAGAGTGACCCTGAGTATGAGTTAACCTACTTCCCCTCTGCAGGCATCCAGCAACTACAGAGAGTGACCCTGTGTATGGGTTAACCTACTTCCCCTCTGCAGGCATCCAGCAACTACAGAGAGTGACCCTGTGTATGGGTTAACCTACTTCCCCTCTGCAGGCATCCAGCAACTACAGAGAGTGACCCTGTGTATGAGTTAACCTACTTCCCCTCTGCAGGCATCCAGCAACTACAGAGAGTGACCCTGTGTATGGGTTAACCTACTTCCCCTCTGCAGGCATCCAGCAACTACAGAGAGTGACCCTGTGTATGAGTTAACCTACTTCCCCTCTGCAGGCATCCAGCAACTACAGAGAGTGACACTGAGTATGAGTTAACCTACTTCCCCTCTGCAGGCATCCAGCAACTCCCGTGCAAGCTTGTCCTCCATGGGCATCTTCCTCTCCTTGTCCCGACAGCTGTCTATCAACCATCTCATAGCCTTGTACCGCTTGTAGTTATCTTTACAGGGAATTGGAACCTGCAGGCAACAATAGTGGAATTGACAACAGACTTCACGCTGCATTCATTGTTTGAACACATGCATCATTTCACTATGATATCACAATCATAGTATCTTGCATATAATATATATATATATATTTCTCACCTGATAAATGAGTCTGCTCAACTAAAACATGACTCCTACCACCTGATACATGACTCCTCCCACCTGATACATGACTCCTCCCACCTGATACATGACTCCTGCCACCTGATACACTACTCCTCCCACCTGATACATGGCTCCTCCCACCCAAAACATGACTCCTCCCACACAAAACATGACTCCTGCCACCTGATACACGACTCCTCCCACCTGATACATGACTCCTGTCACCTGATACACGACTCCTCCCACCTGATACACGACTCCTCCCACCTGATACACAACTCTTCCCACCTGATATACGACTCCTCCCACCTGATACACAACTCCTCCCACCTGATACACGACTCCTCCCACCTGATACACGACTCCTCCCACCTGATACACAACACTTCCCACCTGATACATGACTCCTCCCACCTGATACATGACTCCACCCACCTGATACACAACTCCTCAGATGTGATACACTACTCCTCCCACCTGATATATGGCTCCTCCCATCCAAAACATGAATCCTGCCACCTGATACATGACTCCTGCCACCTGATATATGACTCCTGCCACCTGATACATGACTCCTGCCACCTGATACATGGCTCCTCCCCATCTGATACACAACTCCTACTTGATGCATGACTTCTCCCCATCTGATACACAACTCCTACTTGATACATGACTCCTCCCCATCTGATACACAACTCCTACTTAATAAATGACTCCTCCCCATCTGATACACAACTCCTACTTGATATATGAGTTCTCCCCATCTGATACACAACTCCTACTTGATACATGACTCCTCCCCATCTGATACACAACTCCTAATTGATACATGACTCCTCCCCATCTGTTACACAACTCCTAATTGATACATGACTCCTCCCCATCTGATACACAACTCCTAATTGATACATGACTCCTGGGCCTCACATGACTCCTCCCCATCCGATACAGCACTCCTGGGCCGCACATGACTCCTCCCCATCTGATACACAACTCCTACTTGATACATGACTCCTCCCCATCTGATACATCACTCCTGGGCCGCACATGACTCCTCCCCATCTGATACAGCACTCCTGGGCCGCACATGACATGGTTTCATACCTGATATTTTGTCATCCGATACACAACTTCACCTCAGTTGATAAGTACATCTCACCTGATACATGACTCCTCCTCTTTGAACCTTTGTGAGTATTAGAATTGGTTCACAGTTTCTAACGGCAGTGTGAAAGATTGACAGTGGATTACATTCAATACTTTCTTTCTCTTGTACGTCTTCTGCCTTGTGGTACTTTTCAACCTGAATTCTCTTCAAATTCTCCAGCGTCTGAAATATACATTTAGTTAAGTTAAATTAAGTTTTCAGACATACTGTTTAAATTTAATGGACCAGGTACTATGATTAAAGGTACAGATTGGACGTATTGTCTGTGAGTCCAGCCAAAATGTAACTCTGCAATTCCAGCCTAGTTTGGCAAGGGTGGAAACTGGACTTTTACAGTCAGTTAACTCCTTGCTTCCGGCAGATGGCGTCCAGATGTCTATCGCCCTGTCAGACCAGCGGTACCCACCCTATCCATGATCTTCTGCACACGTGCACGGTTTCCAGACTTCATCATCTGACGAATGAACTTCCTATAAAAGAGAAACAAAGAATGTTTCTGAAGCTGACTGTCATTATGAAGAGAACAGGAGTTGGATGTGGGACTTAACAAAGGATACCCTGGCTACACTTCAGTTTCTAGAGTTGTTCAGCAGTCTTCCTTCATGCAACAAGTTCCGTACATTGTTTGACTGAATTCACAACAAGGATTTGACCGAAAACAATATAACAATATATTGTCCCGAAAATACTTGAAAAAAATGAATATGCTTCAGACTGTTTCTCTTGAAAAAAATTCTCAGGTTTATAGTTTTACATAAAAAATATGTGGTTTAGTAGGATCTAATCTCGATACAAAATCCCCACCCCACACCCCAGCACATCAAGTGGTCCGTCCATAATCATGATAATATCTGCATGTTATTTGTCTCAACATTCATGCACATGTATACTTACTGCACTGTCTCGTCATAATATATTGAAGAAGTCTGCTCTATGAAGGCTGCTTTGATTGGCTGGAACCTACGTGGGTCTGTGTCGGGCAGAGGCTCTTGCAGGTCTTTCTTCTTAAATGTTGGTTCTTGATAGTTGGCAGAGTAAATGACAGTCCGAGCATGACAGAGTCTGGAAAGAGAGATGATGGTCGTCAAAAACTCCACATTCTCACAGATTAAAAATTTGAGTTTTATAAATCATGGATTCATGACAACATTCAGATAAATCAAAACCCCAACAAATTTGCGGAAGGTTAATTCAATATTTCAAGGTCATGGGCAACATGTTTAACCAGTATTCTACCATAAATTTGGAAATTACTCGATTCTGATTGGTCAATCAGAGGTGGTTTAATCACAATAAACCCCTCTCATTGAAACAGCCGATTTCATGGCCGCATCGCCACGGAATCTAATATTCATTGAAAAGTACTTGATTTTATACAATGTCGGTAGGCATATTTAAATAATTATATCTACAATTATAGGTTGCAAAATGCAAAGTTACAATCACTACAATATTCAAAGGATGTGTGGCAATACATTTTGTGCAGGAAACATGATAGAAATCTACAAAGAGAATGTATTTTAGGTTTTGGGGACAACAGAGAGCTTGGAATTTGGAGCATTATATCTTTTGCGTCACAATGAGCGATATGACATCATAATGATGTCTTGTGAAGTAGAACAAAAGCTTTCCAAAGCTTGCTTAGTTTTCTTTAGGGGTGCCCACCTCATTCCGTAGTTGAGATCGACAACCTACTCAAAACACTGGATGCAACCCATGCCGCTTCACTCAGTATATTTGTTAACACCAAAGAGTTCGCATTTTATTTAGTCTTGCTAGAATGGAGATAAACATACTGTGTTTTCAATATAGAGCTAGGTTACCTGTAGATTTAACAGCGCTAAATTTAACATTTGAAACCTCACGCTGTGCGTTAGATCCAAATTCAATTTAGCACAGTTAAATCTACGTAACCTGGCTCTACATTGAAAACACAGTATGTTTATCTCCTAAATATGGCATGAGAAACAATACATTAGTGTCTACCGGGGTGGTATGTGTTCAAAGAATCAAGATGGACAAAAGCTGTTATAAAATCATATGAACAGATGAACTGAGCAGACAGGACATTAACATGGTCAAACAGGAACAAATTAGTTAGCGAGTGAGAACTGTTTTGTTAGGACTCAGTGACTTCAATATTTTTTTACCTCTGATCTTAATTCAATAAAGTCTATATCATATATTCCCACGGCAGAAAGTGTTCACTTGTCATACCAGTAATGATAAACACTGCACTATTCAGCAACTATCACATAACTAACACTATCACATTATTCTAAATATTGAAATAAGTCGATTTTCTTTGATAACTTCCTCGATGTCTACTGCTGCTTGATGCATGTGACATCTTGTACCTGCTGATGCTGCTATCTACAATGATGTCACTGCATCTGCTAAGTGTTGCATCTGTGAAGGTTACAACGCCAGCAGTGGCAAGGCTTCTGTTGCACATTCTCTCAAATATTTCTCAAAAGTCAGCTTCAAATCAGCATCTGAATCAATGCTCGGGGCATCCTGTTCTAAATGGTAATGTCTGTAACTGTAAGCTACCACATGAATGTCCCTAATACAATCAGTGTAACTCCACTGAAGTTAATTTGCCTTGAACTTGACATCAGAATATTGATTAATATTTCCTCCTGAGAAGAATTGCAAGTCAGATGGTGGTGGAGTTACTTCCCTTAGAACAGCAAGCATGACAACTGATTGAAATGCATGTAATATGTTTGAGAAGTCAATCCAGCGTTGGCACAATCAATACCATCTGATTCCACTGCATTTCCTGTTGTCTTCCAGTCAACAGATTAAATTGGAGCCTATTATTTCACACATCAAATATTGAGGCCTCAATGTCTTTATGTAAACCTATCAAGATTTTGAGATAGGTATATTTCTTGATTACAAATTATAGAAGACTACTAAAATGCACCGATCAGACCACCAGACCCCACACCCGAACACACCCAACCCGCCACTGTCAGGGTTTGCCCTAGACTCTAAAACTGGGGGTTATTATGACTTCCTAGCTGTAATACTGGGAGTCAGGTCTTTCGAGGGGGGACATTTTAACAAAATACTAATTGATGTAAGATTTCGCAAAAAAAAATTAACATAAAAAATATCATCTTGTTTCTTTAATCAAGCTGTTTAAATCCTGTTTTAAGTATTTATCTACTCTCTCCACAGTTGTTAAGCTAATTACAGGTAGTGTTGTCGCGGGGGATCACTGTCATTTGTAACGTCCAATATTTATTATATTTGCAGATAACAGATTGGTATATAGGCTGATAAGGGAACTGCTATATAATATTATAACTGTTTACATGATGTGGCATAACTATTCTTGATAGTGACTAACAGGAAATACAATCACCTTGCTAGGTAACAACTGAAACTTAATTCTGATTGGCTGCCACCAAAAGCTTGCCAGTTGGGCTGTTTCATTCTTAGACATTAGGTTTTCCAATAGCAGACAAAGCTGATTAACGGTCGTATTTCATTGTGAAAGGATATGTCCGTTTCATATTTTAATGTTCCAACAGTAAAGTGCAATTAATTGATTTCAACAGTCTGAATGATCTGTGTTATGACTGACGCGTATTTTCTCCTTAGACTGCGTCAAATACGCAGGTTTTCTGTGTGAAGGCAAACCCTGCACTGTTCAGGCTATAAGTACTTTATCTCTCTTACTTTATAAAGCTAGTTTATTAAATTATGAGTGGGTTGTCTTTTTGCTCCACTTTCACAAGTATATTTCAGTTGCATGTCAGATCAATGTGGGAGGGAAGCCAGAAGTGAACAGGGTTACCAATTTGGTGAAACCCGGGAGCACAGGATTGTTGCTGACAAACCAATGATCAGAACCAATGATCCAAGGGACACAACTCTGCTCACCAAGAAGGCGCTTCAGAGATGAGCATTTTGACTTTCTTCAGTTCAAAACTAGTCCATAATTTATAACAGATATTATTTTAAGATTACAACATTTTTGGAAAAAACATCAAACCCCTGAAGATCCGGGTTAAAGTAGGTCTTCAGCAACCCATGTCTGTCGTAAGAGGCAACTATACTTGTTGTAAGAAGCGACTAACAGGATCAGTCTTGGTGACTTGGTTGATGCATGTCATCGTATCCCAACTGTGTGGATCAATGCTCACGATATCAATCACAGGATTGTCGGGTCCAGACTGGATTATTTAGAGACCGCCATCATATAGCTGGAATATTGCTGAGTGGGGTGTCAAACAAAGCAACAAACACGACAACCAGCCCTCCTCTGTGTACAGACTCTGAGTCTGAGTCAACCCCACTGACAGCTTGTACAACTGGTCACTGTTACATTTGGAAAGAGCTTGACAAGACTGAACCCGCCCAAAGTAAGGAGAGCATTTGTCAACATGAATATGTTTAGCATGGTCTTATTGCAACACCAATCCTCATAAACACTGAATTTCAGCTGGATGTACACTAGCAGGTAATGATTAAATAAACTATCAATGCATCGCCACTGTCTTTGGCCTGATGCCAATACATTGATGACAGAGATTACTACACGAGAGTGTATCAAATACCATTTATCTTACGAGTTGTTTCAAAACGTATCTAATGAGTGAAAGAGAGTTAGATACACTTTGAAAAAACGAGTTGTAAAATAAATGGTATCTGACAGGCACGAGTGCAGTATTCCGTTTCTTACACACCCTAAAATCGCATCTTTTGAGCATTGAATCGATGTATTTTGTCTTTTTTCATGATCGCAGTGGCGCATTAATACATAACACCACTGTCATAAGTAACGTCATCCTATGTACTGCTTACTACTCACAAATAATGTGACCCTACACCTAAACCTAAAAAGGTTTCCGCCACATCTGAGGATTATCAAGGCAATGATAATAATGCAAGGTAGATAAGGTCAAAGATGCCCAGTTAAACACTTTCACCTCAAAGAAATTACCAAACATGTTCAACAATGTTTACTTCCCTATGACATCATTACCGGTGACGGACTTTAACAAAATGGCATGTTCACTGACGACAGTAGCAAAATTTTCAGGGACGGATTTTCATTGATTGAGGGATGGGATATTCATAAATGTGTCATGTAAGTAATTAGAAACAATCAGACAATCTGCATACTGTTATTTGTTTTTATGTTTCCAATGTAACCAAGAGAATTAGTCAGAAAAGCAGATTACTACCGTCATCGTTGTGCATGACTTTGCTTCAGTCATGGCGTGACACAGGGTGGAAACTTTTTAAATTCCATAATTCGTGCTACGATCCTCTTCCCACGGATATTCTCAAACCTGTTAGCCAATGTTTGCAACAATTATACGAATTGATCTCTCAAAATAGGAGACGATACTTCACGGTGTAAGATCTGAATTTAGTTTTGTTTACATTTCAACAAGTACAGTTTTCCAAGCACAGTGTTCGTTTCCACACCTAATATATTTTGCTTGATTTTATCTAGATACTTTGCATTGGTGACAAAGACCATTTGACATTTAATTCTAAACTGTATGAGAAATTCGGGGCTGCATGTTTAGCAGCTGAGTTTGAAATATATGTGATCTAAAGGCGTCTCATAACTGGCATATGTGAAACGTGAATTTTGTAAACAATATCCAATATGGTGGAATGTACACTTCGTTCGTGTTTGCATATTTTCCAAAACATTCTAAACTATTCTAGGCTTATCGGCGACAATTCAGAATTATCATTAGTGATTTGATGAAAAATAGATGCCTGTGATCACGGAAATGATATTTCTGAAATTCAATTCTTCAAGTAAATATCCTTTATTTAGATTTCTAAACACGCTAATGAATAATGATTTAGTAATGTGTCAAAAATGGCGTTATCTCAAATGGGTTTCTCACCCACCGGTGTGTAAGAAAAGGTTGTATTTTTTTCTCATTTTCATTGTTCACAGAAATATATAGTAAAACAGTATTCAGTCAAGGCATATGTCGGGTTGCAATAGAATGTCACCATACAATCATTAAACTTAAAAACACGGGTCTGGGTAGTCCTCTGAGTACCCGGGTCCAACT